CGAATGTGCTCCGGAACTCCGTGGCGCCGGAGCTCTGGTGCGGCTGGCCGCCTGGAGGGCGGGGCTGGGGCCATGATAAGCAATAGAACTACCCCAAATCCTTTGGGAGGGGACCTAAGTCAGGAGAGCCAAAAACATCAGGGACAGGAGGCAGTTTTGCAGGTGCCTCAGACGAAACCACCCACATGTTTAGGGATAGCCCTAAAACCGATTATCTAAGTTAGACCACGAACTCATTGGGTTATTAAGGTTAGGGGTTGTATTATGCTTAGTGAGGCCAGGGCCACGGCAAGGCGGTGGCGTTGCCGCCGAACGTCGGAGGAACCATTTCGCTCTTCTCGAGCAGGCCTCTAAGGCGAGGCCAGGACGAGGATAAGATCGGGCGAGGACAAGTCGGAAATCTCTGAGATCCGGCGGATCTTGAGGAAATGTCGGGCTGTCAGGCGTCGAGGCCGAGCGTTCCCGAACGCTCTGGAACGGCTGCATCCTCGTCCTATCCCCGTCCGAGTCTCGCTGTCCTCGAGCACTGGGGGCAGGAGAGCCCAGAATCAAAACGACAGGTCGGAACGGCGATCGAAATGAATCGGATCGGTGGAAATCGGCAGCCGAGTCGGGAAAAGTCGAATCGGCGGAAATCGGCAGCCTAGTAGGCCTCGATTTAGAAATCGAAGCCCAAATCGGAATCCAAAGTCGAATCGAATCGGAATCGGTTAAACCATCGAAATCGAATCGAATCGAATCGGAGGAATCGAAACGAGCCCTGGGGGGTGTGCTACGGCAGGTTCGCGTCATGTCGACTTGGGCGCTGACTTGCGACACCGCGTGGCTCGTTCAAACTTGAGCGATCTCCGCTCCTGGAGGTCCCTGGAGGCCCTCGGCCCCATCTTTAGGTCGGGCATGCCCCCCTGCAGGCGGAATTCAGACGAAAAACAAAAAATAATCGGAAAATGCGCCCAAAAAAATCAAAATCTGCCTGACGAAGAACCCAACCATATGCAGCTGCGAGTGCCGCATTGTGGGTACCGCTGTCGGTGGAGCTCCCTATGGGGCCACGAACCGTGCGAGTGGTGCGCCAAAATGGGGCGACGCCGCCATGCGGACCCCGCCAATGGGGCCTTAGGTGGAACGCCCTGTAGGGCCACAAACCGTGAGTGGTGCGCCAAAATGGGGCGGCGCCGCCATGCGGACCCTGCCACTGGGGCCTTCGGTAGAGCTCCTGGGGCCACGAACCGAGTGAGTGGTGCGCCAAAATGGGGCGGCGCCGCCATGCGGACCCTGCCACTGGGGCCCTCCGGTGGAGCCACGAACTGGGTGAGGGGTGCGCCAAAATGGAGCGGCGCCGCCATGCGAACCCTGCCACTGGGGCCTTCGGTAGAGCTCCTGGGGCCACGAACCGAGTGAGTGGTGCGCCAAAATGGGGCGGCGCCGCCATGCGGACCCTGCCACTGGGGCCTGCGGTGGAGCTCCCTATGGGGCCACGAACCGTGTGAGAGGTGCGCCAAAATGGGGCGGCGCCGCCATGTGGACACTACCAATGGCTCCCTATGGCGCCACGAACCGCGTGAGGGGTGCGCCAAAGTGGGGCGGCGCCGCCATGCGGACCCCGCCACTGGGGCCTGCGGTGGAGCTCCCTATGGGGCCGCGAACCGTGTGAGAGGTGCGCCAAGAAGGGATGGCGCCGCCATGTGGACCCTGCCACCGGAGCCTTCGGTGGAGCTCCCTGTGTGGCCACGAATCGTGAGTGGTGTGCCAAAACGGGTGGCGGTGGCGCATGCAACCTGTGCTACTGGGGCCTTCGGTGGAGCTCCCAGTGTGGCCACGAGCACAGCATGGATGGGAGAAGGGAGGAGGGGGAGGAAGGAGGCGGGAGGACCGCGGGGCGCCGTCTCTGCAAAACGAGGACCCAAAACCACAGGATGGTTGGGAAATAATCGAGAAATCGTCCCCATACTATCTTTTGACCATTTTGGAATTTTGCTCCTGCAGAGGGACAGGCCCGACTTAACCTCATCTTCGATATTGATTCCGCGCCGTGGGTTCTAACGGGGGGCATGGCGACCCCAATCCCCGATTTTGGAAGCTCTTCGACTGGACCAAACATTTGGGGCCCAACCCTTGGGATCTACGATGGGGGAGCGTCCATCCTCGGCTCGGGTTACGGCCGGATGGACCCCTTTAGGGTGCATTCCAGAGCTTCCGGGCGGAGGGAACTTTGTTCGGGCGGAGCTCGGGGATTGGGGGGGAAATTAGCCTGCGAGGTTCGGTTCTGTGGGTCCCGGGGCCCGAAACGTGGACCCAGGGCGCGCTCAAACTTGAATTAGGTCGGGCAGGTCCCCCTACAGGCGGATTGCCCGACAAAAAAAAGGATACCCGAAAATAGTCAAACATAGTCCAAAAATCGTCCCCAGACAATTGTTTTGCTATTTTTGAATATTCCTCCTGTAGAGGGACATGCCCGATCTGAAACTTGACCGCTCGCGCCAGGGTCGCCGCCAGTTGACGTGGCGTGGCCCAGTATCGCGCGTCTGCCGCGCGCGCATGTCGACTCCTTCCAAAACCTTCATCACCGACGCGAAGACGCCGTCATCGTCGTCGGCGTTATCAGCATCGGCGCCGTCACTGGCTACCCCGTCGTCGCTGTCAGCCACCCAACTAACCCCGCGAGGGGGAGACAGCGCGGCGAATGCATCGAAGAGGCGCAAGGACACGCGAATAAACACACACACACACAAATCCCAGGGTTACCCATATGTTCTCATTTTTTCTGGGTCCTCGTCATCCCCCCACTTCTCATATGTTCCCATATTTTCTTCTGAGAATCGGCGATGACTTGTGTCTGTGTGTTTTTGTCCCCCTCCTGAGGCATCTAATCATGGACGCCTGTGACGAAGTGACGAGGGAGGGCAAGGCAGAGGGGGAGCGGGGGGGCGGAGAGAGTGAGAGAAGGGAAGAAAGGGGGAGGCGCTTTAACCCTGACCTTCCGAGCCGTGAGTTCTTTCGAAGCGAGGCTGTCGACCGCAACTCCGGTTCCCTTGAGCCGAGGACGTCGGTCTCGAAGAGTGAGGCTCCACCAAGCCCCTTTCTTTCTCATGGCCTACTGCTGATACTGTTCACCGAGAAGGTGGAGGGGAGGAGGAGGAGGAGGAGGAGGAGAAGGAGGAGGAGGAGGAGGAGGAGGAGGAGAGGAGGAGGAGGAGGAGGAGGACGAGGAGGAGGAGGAGGAGGAGGTCAGGTATCACACCTAATGCTCCTTTTACGTAAAAGGGGGAGGATGAGGAGGAGGAGGAGGAGGAGGAGGAGAAGGAGGAGGTGGAGGAAGAGCAGGAGGAGGAGAGAAGGAAGAGGAGGAGGGGAAAGGAGGAGGAGGAGGAGGAGACGGAGGAGGAGGATAGGGAGGAGGGGGACGGAGCCGAGAGGGAGGAGGGGGGACAGAAAGGGGATCGAGATCGCTTCCCTGGAGACAAGTTTGGTGCTCAAGCCACGGCAGCAGGCTCTTGCCCAACTGGCGCCTTAGCGAAGCCGCTGGACAGCCTGCTAAGCCACGAGGGAAGAGAGCACGAGAAGGAAGAAGAGGGCTAAGACAGAGGGAATAACAAGGAGAAGGAAGAAGAAGAAGAAGAGGAATAGTGGGAGAGGTGATGAGGAAGAATAAGAGGAAGAAGAAGAAGAAGAAGAAGAAGAAAAAGAAGAGGAATAGTGGGAGAGGTGATGAAGAAGAAAGCCCCAAGATAATCATGGGACCCTGGACGTGTTCGCCCAGTCTCAGGCATTGGGGCCGTCGCACATCGATCTAACTGGAGCATCGCCGCAAAACGAAAAGAACCTCAGGACTCCCGTCCTGATTTCCCGGGCTCCGCATTTCCACCTCAGTCCTCCTAAGAGGAAGAGGAGGAGGAGGAGGAGGAGGAGGAGGAGGAAGAAGAGGATCATCATGGGACCATCATGCGCTTCGTAATGGGACGTGCGACGGGGCGCAGGCAGACGTGGCACTCTTGTGCACCAGGCCTGTAGAGCGCTGATGCTGCACACCGCACGTGGGACACTCCATCACCGAGAAGGCGCAGTGGCCCCGTGGCCCCCGTCACGCCCCCCGTGAGTCAACGGGCCAATTGCCCACGCTGAACGAGGGCGCTCTCGGTTCGCTCCTTACTATCCCTTGTGATTTTCGCCTGGACACGTTGATATTTCTGGGTCTGGCTCACACCAGTCTAGCTCCTCCCACAATCGGCAGCATGTTGCACAATGCACCAGATAGACGGCTGCCCATCCGCACTGCAGGATGGCCGTAAACTTGAGCACCGGCATGGCTCTGCAGGCGGGACGGGGCAAGCAGAAACACGACCTGATCGTCTCCCCTCGCTGGCCGAAGAGTCCGCTCATTCTATCGAGCCTCCACCAGATCTTCGACGACCTGCTGCCTTCCACTGCTCTTTTCTCTACGCAGCGTCGCGGCCCGCCCCAGGTCGGAGTCAAAACCGTGCACGCTTAGTAGGCGGCAGCTAGTGCTCGTTCAGGGCTCAGCGAGCACCAGCGCTGGATCGGCCACGATGTGCTCCAAATTCCCCCGGAGATCTCTGGACAGTCCCTTGGACCTGCCACGATCTACCTCGACTTGTCTGCATTCACCTCGACGTTCATCTGGCTCGATCCCCACAAATGCGTTGGCGAAACGTCGCCAGGCCCTCAAGGAAGTGCCCTGGCCCGCGCCCGCGCACGAGCCGCCCGGGCCCCCGCGCGCGCGCGCCGCCCGCCCGCCCCGTCCAGAGCCTCGCTGCCGCGGTGCTGGCCCGAGCCGCCGTCCAGCCCCCCGTCTGAGGGGCAGCGACACGGGTGGGGGGCGCATCGACCTGGGATCGGCGATCCATCGCCGGATGGATCGGCGATGGGCCCCCGAGAGCCGATAGCGACACCGACCCTTCCCGGGCGGGTTGGGGCCATCGGGCCCATATCGGCGATCAGTGGGCGATTGGGGGCCGATGCATCCCCCCCTTATGCCTATCCTCCCCGATCGTTGCCCCTGAGTCTAGTCCCCCGTCGGCACTGGCGTCCCCTGGTGAGCCGACGGGGCGCAAGGAAGGAGGCCCCCGCGCAAGCAAACGGCCTGCTCCCTGCGCTGGGAGGAGGAGGAGGAAGGGAGGGGGGGGAGGAAAAGAGGAGGGGGAGGAGGAGGAGGAGGAGGAGGAGGAGGAGGAGGAGGAGGAGGAGGAGGAGGAGGGAGGAGCAAGAGGAGGAGGAGGAGGAGGAGGAGGAGGAGGAGGAGGAGGAGGAGGAGGAGGAGGAGGAGGAGGAGGAGGAGAGGAGAGGAGGGGGAGGAGAAAGAGAGGGGGGGGGGAGGGGGAGGGGGAGAGGGAGGGAGAGGAGGAGTAGCAGGAGGAGGAGGAGAAAGAGGAGGAAGGGGAGAAGAGGAGGAGGAGGAGGGAGGGAGGACAATGAAGAGGAGGAGGAGGAGGAGAAAAGGAGGAGGAGGAAGAGGAGGAAGAGGGAGGGAGAGGAGGAGGAGCAGGAGGAGGAGGAGAAAGAGGAGGAAGAGGAGAAGGAGGAGGAGGAGGAGGAGGAGGAGGAGGAGGAGGGGGAGGGGGAGGAGGAGGGGGATAGGGAGGGGGAGGGGGAGGGGGAGAAGGAGGAGGAGGAGGAGGAGGAGGAAGAGGAGGAGGAGGAGCAGGAGGAGGAGGAGGAGGAGAAGGAGGAGCTGGAGGAAAAAAGGAAAGAAGAATAGCAGGAGGAGCAGGAGGAGCAGGAGCAGGAGGAATGAAGGAAAGAGAGGGGGGTCAGAGAGGAGGGAGGGATGCAAGGACGATGAGAAGGCGAATGAGATGATTGTGACAATGAGCAGCAGCAGGAGAAGGAGCAGGAGCAGGAGCTGGAGCAAGAACTACAGTGAAAGAGGAGCGGCAGCAATAATATCATAAAAGTGAGGACTGAAAGGAGGAAGCTTAGATGGGCGCTGCGAACACACTGGCTGCGGCGGCGGGCAGGTATATGTTCCCCTTTTTCCCCATCGTCCTGTTCCTCATCCTTCTGTTCCGGTTCGTTCCCATCATCCTCTCCTGTTACCCCCTTTCTCCTTCTCCCCGTCCACCTCCACCACCTCCCCCGAATGATCATCGCCATCAGCAGCTACCGTTTGCGACCGCCTGCGCCGATGTTCAACGCCTTGTGGCGCCAGCCATCTGGTATAAAATCACCATACACATCCTCAGAATCATCATCATTGTCATCATCACTTTTGCCGTCGCATACAGCAGAAGCATCCTCATTATCGTCATCACCATCGTCGTCGTCATCCTCATCGCCACTACCACCGTCGTCGTCGTAATCGTCATCGCCATCGGTATCGTCGTCGTGGTCGTCGTCGTCAGCATCATCAGCATCAGCATCGTGATCATCATAAGCAACAGCATCATCCTCATCACCAACATCTGCATCATCATCAGCATCAGCATCAGCCACATCCTCATCATCATCAGCATCATCATCATCATCATCATCATCATCATCATCATCAGTAGCATCCTCATCATCACCATCGCCATCATCAGCATCATCATCAACAACAACATCATCATCACCATCACCATCACCATAATCATCATCATCATCATCATCATCATCATCATCATCATCATCATCATCATCATCATCATCATCATCATCGTCATCGTCATCGTCATCGCCATCGTCATCGTCATCGTCATCGCCATCATCGTCGTCGTCGTCATCATCACCACCACCATCATCATCATCATCATCATCATCATCATCATCAGCATCATCATCATCATCGTCATCGTCATCGTCATCGTCATCGTCATCGCCATCGTCGTCGTCTTCGTCGTCGTCATCATCATCATCACCATCACCACCACCACCACCACAATCACCATCACCATCATCATCATCATCATCATCATCATCATCATCATCATCATCATCATCATCATCATCATCATCATCATCATCATCATCATCATCATCGTCGTGAGCAGCAGCAGCAGATCTCTGCGGCGGCGCCAGAGGCCAATACTCGGCCTCGCCCGCTTGCCGCGCGATCTTGGCGGCCCGCCGCACGGATCTTGTGCGCGAAGGGGTCGCCCACGGTCTGCCGGTTGGCAGCGCTGGACCTCAGGCGGGCGGGGTGGAGCGCAAGGAGGGCTGCGAGCCGCATCGGGCTGCGTCGGCGATGCATCGAGCCGCATCGGCGATGCATCGGCGATGCGGCGCGATCCTCCGACCCCATCTACTCCAGCCCCGTCTAGGAGGCCTACCCTCGCCCCTTCCCTCGCCCTCCTCCCTCGCCCCTCGTGCCTCCAGTCATCCCCGTCCTCCTCACTTCGAGGTCACAAACAAATCCACTGCACTATGTGATGTTTGTCCACCGCTTAAATGCCCAATGATGTCCCCAAACATAGTATGTACATCTATATACCTATACGACCACCCTGCGGGTGATAAGGAGGTGAGGGGGGAGGGGGAACCAACGTCTCACTCAATCGATCTCGCGATCGATCTCACAATCGATCTCACATTCGATCTCACTATCGATATCACTATAGATCTCGCTATCGATCTCACTAACAATCTCACAATCGATCTCACAATCGATCTCACATTCGGTCTCACAGTCGGTCTCACTGTCGATCTCACTATCGATCTCACAATCGATCTCACAGTCGATCTCACATTCGGTCTCACATTCGGTCTCACGATCCATCTCACTATCGATCCCACAATCGATATCACTATCGATCTCACATACGGTTCCACATTCGGTCTCACAATCGATCTCACAATCGATCTCATTTTCGATCTCACAGCCGATCGCACTATCGATATCACAATCGATCTCGCAATCGATCTCACATTCGGTCTCACAATCGCACTCTCATTCGGTCTAGGTTGGGGGGGAGGGGCCCAGCAATGGGCAACATCGTATTTTTTTGTCTCTCTTTCGAGTTCGCGCCGACATCCGAAGGCACCACTAGCCGAAACAGGGCAAACGTCTGGAAAGCCAGCGACGACGACGACGACGACGACGACGACGACGAGGCCGTTTTTTGTGTTTGGGGCCTCAGAGCCCAGCATACAACACGGCATGACGATACGGCACGGCACAGAGCCCTGGGACCGGCACGGCACGGCGCGAGCGCCCTCAGGACGTCGCCGCCCCGAGGTGGGGCAAGGCAGAGAAAGCGGGAGGAAGCCGAGGAACCAAGAGGGAGAGGACGGGAGGGAGGAGGCGAGGAGAGGAACGAGCGGAGGGAGACAACGAAGGAGGATACGGTTCGAGGCGAATCCAGCCGTGGCGACGAGTGGCCGATCTCCCAATCGATATCACCATCGACGTCGTCATCATCATCATCATCATCATCATCGACATCACCATCAACATCCTCATCATCGTCATCATCATCAGCATCAGCATCATCATCAACGTCGTCATCATCATCACAATCATCACCATCATGGCCATCATCACCATCATCACCATCATCACCATCAGCATCGCACAATCGATATGATTATCGATCTCACAGTCGAACTCCCGATCGATCTCACAATCCACGCCATCATCATCATCATCATCATCACCATCGTCATCATCATCATCACCATCATCACCATCATTACCATCATCACCATCATCACCATCATCATCCCGCAATCGATATGATGATCGATCTCACAGTCGATCTCACTATCGATCTCACAATCGATCTCACATCCGGTCTCACTATCGATGTCACAATCGATCTCACCATCGACGTCATCATCATCAACAACACCAACATCATCATCATCACCATCGCCATCAGCACCATCATCATCATCACCATCATCATCATAATCATCCACATCATCATCGGGACACCGACGGGACACCGACGGGACACCAGCGGGACACCGGCGGGACACCGCGCGCCACCGGCCGCCCGGAAGAGACACATTTGGTCCGGCCGCGCCTCAGCCACAGGGACACCGACGGGACACCAGCGGGACACCGGCGGGACACCGCGCGCCACCGGCCGCCCGGAAGAGACACATTTGGTCCGGCCGCGCCTCAGCCACAGGGACACCGACGGGACACCAGCGGGACACCGGCGGGACACCGCGCGCCACCGGCCGCCCGGCGGAGAATCATTTGGTCCGGCCGCGCCTCAGCCACAGGAGACTTTCCTCTCGCCCGCCCACGCAGCTTCGCCTCGCCCGCGCGCGCGGCACGCACGAACACGAAACCGAAAACGATTTCCCGGTAGGGGGGCTCTCCGTTCCACTTCGATCTCACCCCCTCACCTCCGATATACATATATAATATATATGTGTGTGTGTGTGCGTGCGTGTGTTGTTCAAGGCCTGTCGTACCTTAGTGTATATCTGGGCCCAGACACCTTAATGTATATCCGCGCGGCCGCGGTTCCCGTCATCCTTCTCGTCCACCATATCCTCCTAGCGGCACCACTACCCCGCCTCGTTATGAACCTTCTTTGGGAAAGAGCGGGGGAAAAGTAGGAGGGAGAAAGCTGCGGAAGCTGTGGCAAACGTCAACGGAGGTCGCGGCGCACCGTGCGAAACGGTAGAAGGACATTGATGAAGGGGCCCACGGACACACTGATACACAGGCGCAAATCCCAGGATTCCCAATACCTATACGACCACCCTACGGGTGATAAGGAGGTTGGGGGGGGTGGAGGGGCCGAGCAATGGGCAACAGTGGTGATTGTTCTCCTGACGATGCCAGTGGAGATGTTTTTGTAGGAGGCCTGCTGAAGCCCCTCTTGTCGCCACTGACTAAACCGCTTCAAAATATTGCTCAACGGCTGCCCTTCGGCGGTCGAGACCGATGTACCGCCATCATAGCTTTTTTTCCCTTGCTCAAACAGCGCAAAAGGCTGGAAGCCCAGCGAAAGCGTGCCTCATGCAGTCAGAGAATACCGAAGCGCTGGCACGGGCCCTCCGTGCACCTTCGGGCGCGTGGAAGAATGGTTATTGAGGACGGTGCGCCACGAAATGTTATGGACGCGGTGCTCCCACAGATACGCTTGGACGGCCATGGCGCCCGCGCGGCCGCCCGAAGGAACGGCGCGCGCTCGGGGAGAGCGGCTGGCAAAGCCTAGCCTGTACTGGGCGGATCAAAACGAGTGCGGGAGTGGCGCGGCAAGGACGAGGTACCCTGCTTGAGCCGAACCCCGCTAAGCGGAAAGCTTCGATCTACCTTTTGCTCTGCCCCTACTCAGATGGCACGGGCCCGAACGCGAGCAGGGCTCTCCAGAAACAATAATCAAGATACGGGGGCCTTCTCTACGTCCTTCAGGGGCCTCGGTGCGGCGCGACATTGCACCGTGGATCGGCCCCGGAAGCGGCGCAACACTGTGCGTGGTGGAGGAGAACCTGAGAGAAGACCTCATTCGCTGTCTCATTCGGTCTCACTACCGATCTCACAATCGATATCACTATCGACGTCATCATCATCATCATCATCATCATCATCATCATCATCATCATCATCATCATCATCATCATCATCATCATCATCATCATCATCATCATCATCATCATCATCATCATCATCAACATCATCATCATCGCCATCATCAACATCATCTCATCATCATCATTACCATCATCATCATAATCATCATCATAATCATCATCAACATCATCATCGGGACACCGACGGGACACCGACGGGACACCGGCGGGACACCGGCGGGACACCGCGCGCCACCGGCCGCCCGGCGGAGAATCATTTGGTCCGGCCGCGCCTCAGCCACAGGAGACTTTGCTCTCGCCCGCCCACGCAGCTTCGCCTCGCCCGCACGGCACGCACGAACACGAAACCGAAATCGATTTCCCGGTAGGGGGGCTCTCCGTTCCACTTCGATCTCACCCCCCAACCTCCGATCTTCCATACATCCTGGATGTTTGTCTTCCCCTCCACTTCCAATATTTTCCACATGTTACTGAGGATCGCCGATTAGGTGTGTCTGTCTTGTTTTCCATCCTAAAGAGACTTGGGCCGCGTCGCCAGGCCCCCTCGCGGCCACGGTTCTGCGGTCGGTGCCGCACCTCCCGCGGCGCTGCGGGTAAACGCGGCCCTGATACTGCGGGCCCCGCTGGACGCCTGCCCGCTCCTCATCATCGAGAGCGGGCGGCGAGGGACCAACTCCTCCTCCTCCTCCTCCTCCTCCTCCTCCTCCTCCTCCTCCTCCTCCTTCTCCTCCTCCTCCTCCTCGTTTTCCTCCTCCTCCTCCTCCTCCTCCTCCTCCTCCTCCTCCTCCTCCTCCTCTCCTCCTCCTTATCCTTCCCCTCCTACTCTGCCTCTGCCTCCTCTGCCTGCTCGGCCTCCCTCCTCCCTCCCTCCTGCTCCCCGAGGGCGGCGCGCTGCGGGTGCGCCCCCCCTCGTGGGCGAGGACCCCGGCGGGGGAGGTGCAGCTGCGAAGAAAAAAACGTATAAACTTACAACGAACCCATATAGTAAGGATGCGCAGTACGGTCGGACCTAGGACAGAAGGACATCCCTCAAGAACTTGAGACCCTCCGCCAGCCCAACCACACAGAACATCCAAGGGTACCCTCCCCAGGATGCACAAGAGCATCCAACAAACACGAAGTACACTAGGGTACCCTCCCCGAACCGACCTCGATCTTATACCTTGGTCCGGCTGTAAGGATGCAAGGGCCTTGGACGGCCATGCCGAGGCTCTTCGAACGGGGCAGGCAATCGAAAGTGGTTGAGGATGGACCGAAGATGACCGAAGACGCAGGGATACGAGGGCACCCTTGGGAGGTCGATTATTCTTGCTACGCGGGTTGACTGTACTGCGGGCCAAGCTGAACGCAGCCTGCAGGAGGGCAAAACGTCGCATCTCCTAATAACACAGCGTGGTACGAAGGAGTTGAACCCCCGAACCACACGAGAATCCGCAGGTTGGCACGCGGCCAGCACCGAACACATGCTGCTGACAATCTGCCCACTAGGCGGGGCACCAGCGCCGGGATGCAGCAACAAAAAGAAGCAGACGAGGAGGATCAGGATGAGGAGCAGGACAAGAGAAGACCAGGAGAAGGATAAAGAGGAGGAGGAGGAGGAGGAGGAAGAGGCGGAGGAGAAGGAGGCGACATATTCTGACCAGGATGCGGGGAAGCAGGAGGAAGAGGAGGAGCAGGAGGAACAAGAGCAGGACCAACATGAGGAGACGTTGCGGGACCCCCGAACACCCCTGCGAACAGGCAGAAATCTAAGAAAGCATCCAAACACCTGCCGAAGCCTTCGAAAACTCCAGAAACCTCCCTCGAGGGCGAGGAGGAAGTGGACGACGACGACGACGAAGAAGATGGCGACGACGACGACGACGACGACGACGGCGACGGCACCGACGACGGCGGCGGCGGCAGCGGCGGCGACGGCGACGGCGACGGCGACGGCGACGGCGACGGCGACGGCGACGGCGACGGCGACGGCGACGGCGACGGCGACGACGACGACGACGACGACGACGACG